TGTTGCATTGCTGAGACTCAGTGGAAATATCACAATGCAAAAACATGAAAAAATCTTAGTCTCTTACAACATGCTCTCCGAAAATATCAATGGCCAATGTAGCCTCTCTTGCATCTTTTTCACGAAGTTCACTTGGTCCATCTAAAAACACCATTACTGCATTCAAAACTCGGTCAATATTCTTCACGAAAAAGGTTTCAATAAATTTTCAACCAAAAAATGTTCAAGGAAATATAGTTCTTATACGGTACCTTGTGAAGGAGGGGACACTTCTCCTAAAAAATTATCAAAAGCGATTCTTTATACCCATGCAGATTAGAATAATTTATAATTCTATTACAAAATTGTGGCTGTGAAAATGGGATTATTACTATCATGCACGTGCTGTCGGATGCAATAAATAGGATATATGAAAATCAGCTTGACTGATGCATGGATGAAGCAGAATTATGCAGAAAAATACCTGGTGGGCTTTGCTCGATTGGATCTGGCGTATCCCTGAGGAAAGAAATAACTATATATTTATCAAAATATCCAGGAATGAGAGAAGATATACAATAATACATTGGTTAACTTCTGTTTCTTTTAAAATATATAGCTATATATATATATATATATATATATATATATAGCATTCCGGAGCTCACAAGTAAAATACTTTACTTTTTAGTCATCGTTGGCAAAGGTCTGTCGTCTGCAGCAGTTCTCTGGGGAAATAATGTTTAATGATTTGAGGAAAACAGAACAAATGCAACTAGTTTAGAAGAGTCAAAAACATTTAAGACAATACTTGTATGGCCCAGATAGTAATCCTGTCTGACTGAGCATTCTTTTAACTTATGCAATAGGACTAAAATCACAAGGATACTCACCTGTTCCGGTGACATACTTGGGGGTTGAACAATCTCTACTTTATCTTGGGAGGGTCTGGGGCTGACATATGGTGATTTTACTGAGGCGGGTACCTCGGGGCGAGAATCGGGTTGTGGGGATGTCGTAATTGGTGGTAAAGGTGGTGACATTGAAAAACGGTTGGTAGATGGAGGAGCCCGGTTTGCATTACGATCCGAAACAGGAGCCTCCTTGTTCGGCTATGAATGAAATTTAACACGAGTTGAAGCTCTCGTTGTCATAATATCAAACAAGCTGTTTTCTTGCATGAAACTCAAGTTTGCGTTCTCTTTTGTTTGAGGGATGGCTCAGAGCTTGCTGGCAACAGAAAAGCAAAATTGACAGAATTTTCACACACCTCTTGAATAATTCCTGCAGATACCAACCGATCTGTGACCACTTTACGATATTCGTCGATTTGTTGCTGGAAAGTGCACAAAATATTTTAGGGAAAATTTCGAAGTAGGTCAAGTGATATGCTATGCTCTTTCCAAAAGCATTGCATGTCATAATATAATAAAAACAGTGCCATAATTAACAACCTTTTTCACCATAGCCAAGTCATAATCTTCAACTTCTATTGCCCTCTGTTTTTCAACATTCAGACGACCAAGTCTTTCTCCAACCTACACACATTCACCCATTCATTTAAAACCACTCATTTTCATTTATTGGGAAAATGAGTAATAAATTCACCACATTTTCATCATTTTGCATCAGGTTACTGCATGATGAGTTCATGATGAATGCATGATTAGTGCATGATTAGTGCATGATTAGTGCATGATTAGTGCAGGATGAATGCATGATGAGTGCATGTGCATGACTGCTGCGTGAATGACGTTATACGTGCCTTGTGGAGATCGTTAACGACCTGATGGTACTTTTTTGCTTCAATGAACTCATCCTCTAAACATGAAATAAACGAACTTAAGAACATAAGAATGCATGTCTTTCAATCAGTTAGTTTCTTGTATATTTCAGGTTTGAAAAAAAACCTACAACTGCATTTGATCTGGAATTAAACTATGAGTTGTTAAAAACCTTTTATAGCATCTTTCTTCTTCTGCTCCAAATCTCTTATTATTTCAGCCGTTTGTGGATCCTAAATTAATAAATTTGCACAGACAAACATTTAAATGTCTGTCAATTTTTTTTCGTTTGATAACAAGAAGTTTACTATTAACTCAATCAACTTTAAGCTTTGTAAACATTACCTGGTACATAGCAAATGCTATGTCATCAAGTGGAGAAATATGATCAGGTCTATGTAAAAAACAATTATTATAAAGATTTCACCCTGCTGAATCCTATCAAATGTCTTAAAAACAATCATGCTGATATACAAAAATCTTAATCTACTTACTTATTGATTTTCCCCCATAGTGGATCACCTGGTATAACATTTTCCTGTTTCATGTATTGATCTACCAGTCTGTCAGCAGACTGCATTTTAAAATATATATATTATGGTGTAAATTGCATGTTTTCACGCTCGTCTTCATTGCCACAAATATGTTGGGACCATTACAGTTACACTTACATTTGCATCATCAAATTGACTGAAAGTTTCAATGCTTTGTGCAATTATATTGGTGGCGATAATTTGAACCTGTTACAGAATAAGATAAAATTTAAGTCAGTAAAAAATTAAATTGGCTGTTGGTGGTATTCTGATAGTAGGAATAAAGATAGAACTAAATATGTTGATCAATTATGAATATTTTCTAGCACACACCTGGTTGTACAAATTGAATTTGTTGACATAATTTTTGTGGACAAACAGTTTGATAAATTGCCCATGCGCATCAAGATGCACTGATTTCAGCTCTCTTGACTGAATCAAATTAATTAAACAAAAAATATATGAGACACTTAAATTCATATTTTGCATACCAATGCTGTCTCTTCATTTGGTTGTCATACAAGAGAACACATATTATGTACCTTATACTCTGTATTCTGATTATCAACCAAACTAACATGTCTATAAAAGATTGTAGAAATATCTCACTACATGCAACAAAGAAAAAAACGGCCAGTACATTTTCATTAGAGTACCAATTGCTCATTGCCTAAAAACTCACCCAAGACGTTTAAATTTACAAGTTAAAAGTGAAGATGACTGCCCTTCAGGAATACTGCCAATGAATACTTCAATTTTTGTGGCTGTCATATGAAATAAAAAAATATGAAAAACCAGGAAATATGTTTATTAATATGTATGTAGCTTCATTGTGAACTTACGTATCAAATATTGATGAGAAAGTATTTGCAATTTTCGGATTCTCATAGATTGTTGTAACATTAATATAACTTCTTGTGGATAGACACAGAATCTAAATGTGAAACCAAAACATCTTTTATTTCAACACAACCGTGAAAAGTATTAAAACAGGATAGAAGATGGCAGTTGATATAAATAACAAATATCTCATTATGAATTTCAGGACAAAATTAGGCCTTACAAAAACATCTTATATTCTTATTCTATATTTCACGGTGATGAAACCTGAAAACCTACAACCTAATCTTCTAGCAAACTCTTTTAACTGGTAAAAAGAAATCAATTACTTGGACGTTCTCCATCCTTTTGTTGTTGGTGCGTGAGTTTCTAATTCTTTTGCGCTATACCCATCATCAGCCCCAGATGCATGGACCACTTTAAATGGAACTTTCCTGGCCATCATCAGCAAAGCACTCTATGTCACATTCTGTGGGAAAAAAGACATTAATTTTATATCATTTTTGACTAATGTTGCAGCTTTTAGGGATTGATATTAGAGTTGACTTTGAGGGTTGCCTATTATTAAGATTACAATATTGAATAAAAATTTCATATATGTTAAGTATTTTACTAATCAAGGCATGTAAAAATCACAGCTATGTTGTAATCTAATGTTTGATTCAAAACCCTATGTTGCAGAGTTTTGAAATATCAACAGGAGCTTAATTCAAGTGGAAATAAAAGCCTTTCAAGATAAAAAGGTTAATATGAATACCATTGGTCTGATTTATGATCCTCCAAGTGCAGAGAAAACAATCATTGATATTTCAGAGATGCACAAGTTAATACTAGTTGGCTAAGATAGTGTGATATCATAGAGGAGCAATGATCTTTTAAATAAATCATATCAAATGAAGATCATACAAGCAGATGATACATAAAGAAAAAGATATCTGCATATCAGCCTAAATATCAGTCCGAATTGACTGTGTAAACACATGCACAAAAATTTGTTCTCATGAATATGTCCATCTTTCTGCTGCAATCATTTATACAGGAAAGTTGATTTAAGGCAGCTTGATACCTCTTTAGATACACTCAACATAACGGGGATCTACATAGATCAGGTCATCCGGTTCAGGTTGTGTATTGGCCGATCTTTCAACAATATCAAATGATAACTTTGAATATTTAATTATATTCTTAATTGATTATATTTAATTCCCTATTTCTCCATCGTAGGTTCAATGACACCATCCTTAGCGACCGTTTGCTGAAATTACTTCTGATATTTTCTACGCGAATTTATTCTTTCTAGCTAATCTATATAACATTTCCTTGTGTCAAACATGGCACGTACTTACCAAATGTCAATACAAAATATGACACTCCACTCACGAATCTACAAAAAGACTACAATTCAACCACGAAATTTAGCTATTTCTCTTCGAGATCGATGGCTAAGCTTTCTTGTGCATACGTAACAGTTCATTTACATTACCGATTTACAATATGACACAGACTTTAGCGTCAACGTGAAAGTTATCCTCCAAACAAGAACTGCAAATATTTATCCTCAAAAAACAAACTTGGCAACCATTGTGAGCCCACATTACAAGATGAACCACCAGCAGCGGGCTGCGGGTCTTCCAAACGTTACAGTTTAGAGCAAGCGAAATTCCATTATTGCTTGTTTACTAAATTTTGTTTACAACAAAATGCAATGTCTGATCGACGAAAAAAGAATTGTTTGGTACAATACGATTGGCTCGAAAGCCAAGAGGGCAAGGAGTTCCTTGGAATATTGCTGAGGCGTAATAAACGTAGAATTTTCGGTTTGTATTTAAATTATGCCAACGTTCTACAACAGTTCAGTTATTAGTTTAGTTCAGTTCACAACCCTCAACGTTTCATAAGGATACTTGTAGTATTTGGTTAGCTTTGATGTGAGAGTTCAAGTGGATTACATCTTATTTGGCTCAAATTTACGTATTTTACTCTTGAGTAGAGATTTGCTCCAAGAACTCAGTTAATCCAGTCTTAAAACCGGATAGGGAGGGATTAACCTATGGGATTAACGGCCATTCACGTTTTTCACGTTTCGTCATATCCTGCACCTGAATTTCACCTGATTTTAGGGTTGTCTAGACTCCACAATCCACACAGACCACAGTCACCACTCACCACACATTCCCATTGATGCTCAAGCTAGTTGGGCGTTGGCATTCCAGATATGATTAATAGTTTATTGCAAATTTCTCTAGCCATAATTGAAAAAAAATTTTTATCATTTGCAAGCACATCAAATACTATAAACAATCCTACAAATTATCCTGTATTTTTCTTCACAGGACTACTAGAGCAGCCTGGATTCCCATCAGGGGTGACTCCAACAATAATACCATTCAAGCTATTATTGTTGGGTAAATCTTCTGTTGGAAAGACCAGCACAGTTGCTAAGCTAGCTGGAAAGGGTGTGTTTTGTTATTTAAATGTTTTGCTCTGAAAACCTTCATCTCCAACTATATACCAATTATTTAACAAAAATATACTTTCAACTTCAAAGAACTTCCAACCATGTATAATGAAACACCTGGTATTCAAACAACTTTGATTTACTGGCCTGTCAAGGTAATATCATCACAGAAGTATTTTAAATCACCAGTAATTCCAATCAAAACCACAAAGAAATATCTTTTCATTCTAGCTGTTATCCTCGTCAAATGTTGTGTTATTTAAACTGCATTTCTGGGATGTTGGTGATTATGCTTTGAAAAAATTTGACCATATTAAAACAGTTAGTATATTGCAGAAATATCTTATAAAATTTCCACTCCATCTGTCTTTATTAATATTTCAAACTCCTAAAACTCAGCTCTTATTTTCTAGGCTGGACAATCAGATATGGATGCCGTCATATTTTTCTTCTCGTTTATAGATAGGTTAATATTTCACAGTATGATACAGACTGGATGTGATAAAATGTCCATTCCACAATTCATCTGTATTGTGAACATAAACATGAATAAAAAATATTACAAAATTTCCGTTTGAAATGCTTTGCTGTTCCTGGTTAAGCTTATCGTTTTAACTTTCAGATCAAGTTATGATGATTTGCCTTACCTAGTGACAAGAACTTGTGATGAACTACAAGACATAGCTAAAATAACCATCGGGACGAAATATCCTTTTCATCACCTACGTTTGTAGTTGAATTGTACTGGAACATTCTCACAGTACGTATTAGAAAAAATTTCCTTAACACCAGGTGTATGTTTGACCAAGTGCTCCATAGTGAAGTTACCGAAGAAGAGCTTAGAGATTTCCAAGAACAATGGCATATTCCTATTTATAAAATTTGTAACAATGAAGGTCGCAAGTTAGCCGATGGAAGTTTAGATGGCAGAGCTGGGATCGTGGTAAGCCAAGCTCAACTGGGCTAAAATTCAGTTGACTTGCTATCAGCAATCGCTAAAGGCTTCTCAATCTTCCTAGGAGGTGGCACCCATCCTGAACGCGATCACAGAAGTGCTATGGAGACACGCGAATGAAAAAAGAAAAGCCGTTCAAGAAAAATCGCCAAAAAAGCGTCCGCCCGCAAGCAATCCTGATTCAAGCGCGACGAACATAACTTCACAGGATCACCACCAGATAACTAATATTTAGAAAACAACAACAAAAAACTTCAAACAGAGTATTTATGAGTCTTATTTTGATAAAGACATCACTCATTCTCTTTATTACACTAGTTTCCTCTCGTTTTACAACCTAAAAAACACATTCATTTGGAACACATAATATACTTCATGTCTGTACATAAATAGAGCGTATTTTTACAATGTTTTGTAAATAAATATATTATAGCGTATATAAAAATATTGTATGAAATAAAGGATTTCAGGGAACGTAACAGAGCATGCGCAGCTAAATAAAGATGATGACATCATTCTATTGCTGTATTTGATCATCATCTGCTACTGAATATGATATTCTTGGTGAAATCGCCTTAAATTAATTTACATCTCTCAGTTTTTAACAGTTTACACCCACACAGTTTTACCTTTCGATCCTTCACAATCTTCTATATCATACATCTGTCCTTCGTCGTCACTGAGATCCCCAAGTGATCCTAAACTATCACGTGAAACAACACTGTTCCGTAATTGGACAGAAGTTGGATCCCAATCCAAACTGTACAAACTAGTTCGCTCAGTTGATTTGGGTTGCTCGGGAAGCTGGACACTAGGCACAGGCCTCGATACATTTACCGGGGGGTGACCGTTGTGGGTTTTAATTGGTGGGTAGGGGGGTAGAACTTCGCGTTCGGCATAACCTTCGACAGATCCAATAGGATCCCATTCCATGCTGTATCTGGTCGCGGCAGAACCAGTTGAACCAGTCGAAGCAGTACTCATGCGCGCCATCGCATCTCGGGGCTTGGTTCTGAGTTTGTGTCTTCGCATAACTGGTAATTCGGTGAGGATATCACCCGCTTCTAGGGCGATCGTCTTCCCGGGTGATGCGGGTTCATGTGAAGGGGATTTTCGACCGATAGATAAACTTTTCACAAGCCTTTCTGCCATTGAGCTTTTTTGCGATGGAGTTGGAGAACTTACACCTACTGGCTTCGATTTACTAGGGGAGAACGTAGGTTTTCGTGGGTGTTTGGGGGATTTTGCGGGTGCTAGGATGAAGAAAGATGCTAGACGGTCCATATATGTGCTCTCACCAGTCTTTTCGTTTGCGCACTCCGGTCCCATATTTTTAGACTCTGGTGGAATCTCAATTGTGAGAATATTGTTGAGTTTTGCAGTTTTTTCCAGTGTTATCTCCGCAAACGGCGCTGATTGAGAGCGTTCAAACTTTTTAACACATTCTTCGGTCTTTTCAGGCAAAGATTTAGATCTTTGGCGTTTTGGGGAAAGCGCTCGTTGTATGAGACCTCGCAAGGAACTCAAGCGCTTCGACCTTCTTTTGTGTTCACATGTTTTTTCATCATCCGCTTCGTGTTCTGTTGTGGCAACTTCGTGCTCTACTGTCAGAAGTTCAGGTTCTATTCTGACCATCGTGTTTTCTTTCGTGACGACTCCTACCGACGGCGTGCGATCAGATGAAGAACGTTCTCGTTCGGAGCTTGACCGAGCACGGTTTGAGATGCTCGACGCACGCTCGGAAGACGAAGACGTCACACTTGATACGTCATTAACACCCGAAGTTGAAGTAGACTTCCCGCCATATTTATCGCTCCACGTCAGAGCACGTGGCTTTCTTGTGATCTCTTGAAAACTACTGCCCTGTCTCGAACATTGAACCCATGGCTGGGTTCTAATCTTTCTCAGATCTTCATAGTCACACGACTCGATCCAGGACTTTGTCTTAGTGCTGCGCGACGTCCATGTGTCTAAATCAAGAAGAGAGTCGGCCGAAACATGTTCCGTAGTTTTAGCTTTCGGAAAGGGTCGCTGGCTCTCGTATTCATCCTCATATTCCGCATAAGTGTCAGGGGATTTCGGTGGATTGAGCGAGTCAAGCGAGTACTTCGTGCAGTAAAATTGTTCAACATTACATTTTCCACATGTACACTCCATGTTTTTTGTGGATAATGTGTCGCTCAAGCGGATTGCGCTAGGCGAGTAGTGTATAAATATAAGTGACTGCAGAAGACATGCTATCGCCAGGAGAATGGTAACCACCTCAGTTCCGGTTTCTTTCTTGCTTATTTGCAGAATAGCGACAGAACAATGAGGAATGCCCATCATCACGAAAGTTACTACGCCCGCAATAACAAGGCGAATGTCCGTGCGGGTTTCTTTATTTCGTGTGCCCGAATTTTGGGTGAGAATCCGGCGCCAAAATAGCAGGCAAACCTGCATTAGGATTGAGCAACAGACACCTAACACCAGTAAACCGCATATGATATACATCACTTGGGCGAACAACATTTCATAATTCGCCATACAAAACTTGTGCCAGGTCGTTACCCGCGTCCAGGGTGGAATAATTAGCAAGAATGATAGCACCCAGGCCTCGGCAGTGTACACGACCGAGCGACGGAACGAGATATCAGCAGCAATGCATAGTTTGTAACCCAGTTTTGAAAATCGCTCCAGTATAATCAAAGTCAGAGTAATTACAAATGAATATATCCCAAAATGCTTAAGGAAATAAACCGAGCTACAAACAGACTGGGACCAATTTCCTTCGCCAAGGGCACTTGTCTCGTCTCTCGGAGACTGGTGACTATCAGCAACCAGAAGGGTGAGAACACTTGAGGTCACAAATAAATTCGAGAGAGCTAGGCCAACGATAAAAATACTCAGCGACTTTTGTCGGCGGGCATGCGTATATATCCAAGTGCCAATCAACGCTAGATTCGAGACTAACGCGAGAGTCGATATTACCCATAATACAACGCGAACAGCAGTATTATCTCCGAGAATCCTTGGCGGTATCGGAAATTCATCGGTGCAATTCTCTGCAGACATTCCGGTATTGATAGGATTACATTCAGAGCACGTGCACGACGTATTCTCAAAAGGATCCTCCCTTGAGACGAGGCAACGTCTAGGACTTAGACAACGCTCGTTTCTGGAAATTCTTTTGTAGTTGCAACGTAAGCAAGAACTCAGGGAATCCGCGGAAATTTCTCGTAAACTGGTTATAGTTCTGAGAAAGCGCAGTGATGTGATTCCTGGGTTACCCTCAAGGTGTAGTTTGGTTAGAAATGGAGTATCTTTCAAGACCTCATCTTGTAATGTGAAATCATTGCCATTTTTACGCAGGTCCCTAAAAAAGAGCGATTATTCATAAATCATGTCTGAAAATCAGTGAGTAATTGTCTCAGAGCCAAAATACGTGGTTCAACTGTCTGCGTGTTCAAAACAGAATGTTTTCCTTCGTCTGTCTTTCAGACATGATGATAGAAATACGGCATTTGTAGTTTGGGAATATTGCCAACATTTTTCAGTTTGACTAATAAAATCACGCCTGGCCAAAAAATGATGGGCCAACACTGGACTTTTACCATAAGCAAAAATACAAAAGTGAAATGCTCACAGTTCTCTTAAATTGATTAGACCATTGAAGCAACCGTTTTCGAGACTTTCAATGTTGTTTTCATCAAGGGATCTATAAAAAAAACGGGAGAAAATCCATCAGCTTTACTCTGAAGCAGCTTAGGAATTGCAACGATGAATTTGACTCGCATATTGTAAGCCAAAGTGAAGTAGTTGATTGCTTTAAGATATTAATTCACAATGAACAGTAATACTTACAAAAACTCCAATTTACCAAAACGCCGAAACGTGTGTTTTTTCAGACGAGTCAAACTGCATGAAGAGAGGTCCCTATAGTTTAAACAAAGGAAACAGATATTAGGAATACTAAGTTCATCCCTTTACTTTCATGATAATGCATACTTTCTCAAAGAATACACATCAACATCATTCTCAATAGTGCTGGGAAATAAAAAACGCAGTAATTTCAGCAGTGATCAGAAGGTATGTTCATTGTGCACAGCATGAAGTGGTCTAGCATCGCCATAAAGCAAGCTTTAATATCAACCAATGATTGATTACGTTGATAATCCTTGCATTACTGGCCCTAACGAATGTCGTTAAAATCTGATTTTAAGTTAAGGAGGTCTTTACGCATGGGGCCACCGCGCTTAGACGCTGACGCAGGTGGATTGTCGAAATCCCATCGAGAAGAACTAAAGCGGCGGAGAAGTTAGAAGTGCAATATAGATCAGTGAGTTATTAACAATAGTTTAGACATCGAGCTATGAGCTTGTTTTCTGATATTTCTAATCCTTATTTTACGTTTGAACTCCCGCGAATGAATACTTGGTGTTTTTTCACAGAATGCGACTTATTTCTTGTTATCTCAAGTTCATCGGTGCGTTTCCTGTGTGTAGGTGTGAAAAATGACTAAATCTGTTTGAAAAAACAAAC